AAACTTCTCCAGGGTTTTGAAGGAACCCATTTTAAGCAACTCCAGTCAATGGCTGGTATCACTACCTGGGGAGATCATTCCATGTGCAGGTGTAACAGCCTGATGCTCAGCAGATTTTTGTGTTCTCACAAAGCATCAGATTGTCCACATCTTTTGGCTCAAATACTAAAAAATACAGGATATTACGTAGGCACAAAGCTATCAAAACCATAGAGAAAGGCTCACCTCTCTTATTCCATCACAAGAAATCTCCATCTATCAAAATAGTCACGAGAGCTTACATGCTACAACTGCTTGCACTGGGGTTTCAAAGTGAGGAAAATAAAACCGCAAATCTTTCAGTCCACACGCACAGCCTCCTACTACACAAGCTAAGGAAGAATATATTCTTTGCCCTCTTGGCATCACAGACTTTAGCAGTTAGCTGAAAATAATCTATTTGGATAGTAACAGTAGCACGACAGGTTGATTTACAGTTTTAGAATACACTTCCCACCCTGACGTCTCTCCCATCTAAATACACAATAAGCAGCGTGAAATTAGGATGAGAGATGCAGCCAAAGTTAGGTAGTAAATAACAGCTGAAAACATTTTTCTATTACAAAGTTTTCAAGAATTAGTAGGAAGCTTTAAAAAATTGCCTTCAGAGGATTTACAGAACATCAGAGTTAAATGCTCCTGTACTATATGGTAGCCATAATAATTACATATAAAAATATTAATAGAAATAATTCATAATGATAATGTAGTAAGTAATATATACAGAAATGTAAACAATTAGTGAAAAGACAGAAAGGGGGAAGAGAAGGAACTATACCATGATTACAAATCATAGTGAATTATCTAGGGCCATAACAGTATAATGAGGCATAACAGTATGAAATCAGGAAAAGCAAAAAGTCACAATGAAAATCAGGAAAATACAGTTCATTCAATCAGGAAAATACAGAACTGGAAGAGTTTGCATTTATTTATTTATTTTTAGGGATATAGAGAAAGAGTCACTACTTGACTTAAGAGCTAGACTAGACAATATACTGGAAAAGAGATTACTCAAAAGAAGCCACCTTTCTACAGGTAATGACTAGACCCAACGTACCAAAACACTTGCTTAGATTGGTCTGCTTGTCAATGAAAACCTTGGCAGAGACGACATTTCCAAATGGCATGAACATCTGCAGCAGATCCTGATCCCCAAACTCCTGGGGGAGATGGTAGATAAACAGATTGGCTCCCTCTGGACCTTCAAAGAACAAGTAGGAATATAAATTCAGAAAGAGCATGGATAATACAGGCCCACTTCACAAAAAAAGGTGGAAGAGCCATTCAAGCCAAATTTTCTAGATAAAACAATGAAACTGCTGTTTGCACTTCTGTGGAGTACTTGATTCCAGAATACATCAGCATGACCCTTTGCTGGGATTGATCATTCAAATAATTCTAGCTCTTTCTCACCATTTTTGCTTGTAATTTCCACATTGTGCCAAAACTGGTTCACAGATCTTTGCTGTAATGAAAGCTGAACAGTAAATTTGAGCCCCAGATGCTGACTAAAACAAAAATGGCTATGCAAAGCTTGTGGCCCAAAGAAACTAAGTAAATCTCAAAACAAAATACAAGCAATCGCATTACTCATAATCTGACGGATTCTTTTCCAAGCGTCATCCTACATTCTGCTGAAAACTTACTCCTACATTCTTCATTTTTTTACACTGCGTGTTAAATTGATTCTGAATCTAAAGAGTGAAGAGATCGGCATTAAGTATCTGTGGGAAGAGGTGAAGGACCAAGAAAATAAATTTAACAAAACCACAACTGATTCTCTGACAGTGGGATGTATCAGGCTGCAGACTCACACTCTCCTGTCCTCCGAGAAAATGGAGGAATACGATTACTAAGCATTTAAGACTAGACAAATCTGGGGAGAAACCTCCTGTATAAAAAGTACTGTGGACAGCCCTTAACAGAAAGACCTCACAGGTTTTCCTTCTATATCTTCAGTAACTTCAGAATTCTAAAAAATGCCACCAAATAAAAGCTCTGCAGATAAGGCAGCTGCAAGGGCTGAGCTTGCCCTTTTGAAAACCCCTCTCAAGTTGTTTCTACAACTTTCTGCTTACCTTCTTTTTGACTTCCTGCTGCACCAATACTCTGCTGTGTTAAGAGACTCTGGTTATAGAGTGTGGGCAATGCAGCAGCAGCATATTGCTGGATTCCAGAATAAGCCTGCGTGAGGGCTTCCATTGTGCTACCTGTCCCATTTGAGAGACCACCACTGCCAAGTCCTCCATTTAAGGCTGCCATTCCTGTATAAGAAAGAGGAAATAAAGATGACTGAGTACTTCCACTGAGCCAGATCAATTGCCTTTCAAATACTCTGCACTATTACAAAAAGGCAGGGAGCAGAAAAGTACCCCCACAGAACTAGCACAGCCTGAGAAGTGATAATCAGCTGTTTCACCAGCCCACCCCAATACATAGCTTACCTGCTAAAGAGCTAACATTGAGGCCTGCTGTAGCCCCTGCCAGCGTCTGCAATGCTCCAAGAGAAGCCATTGGATTAACAGAGGAGCTGCTACTGGAGCTAGGTGAGGAACCTGCTATTAAAATAAGATAATTAAACTTCAAGCAATATTTTTTGGTCCTGATAATTCAACTTCTTAAGTTATTTCTGTAGAAAAGGCTAGTAAGGACCAGACCAAGGCAACACAGTATACTTTATGTCAAAAAGAAAATCCCAAACCCACATAACTTGATTGATCGTACTGCTGCTATCTTCTAATCCCTTCCTACATTTTTGAAAATTTCTACTTCATCATAACATCTACTCCTCGTAGCAATAATAATTTCATGAAGTGTAAGACACCTAAGACTCAGACAATATACGAATGTTAGCTAAACTTCGTACCTCAACTTAAGGTCACCAGCAGCAATGCCTCTTTCCTGCTGAATTAATATCTATCCTTGAAACATCACACAAGGTGAAAAAGACCTGAAACAGAGATACTAGGGACATTAAAGAAAGCTCCAGTCAAACTGAACATATGGTTTTCCCATACTGCCAGAACAGGAACAGCAGATGCCCAGATTATTCTGACAGATGAAATAATTTTCCGTTAAAAATCCCGCTGCAGCAGCTGGGGCCAGGGCCAAGAAAAGTCTTGGAATGTACATACAAAAGACATAGTCTGTCCTTTATTGACTGTGCCACTAACATCTTCAACTATGTTTACTCAATAAGAGAAGTCTACAGATGAAGTACCTAGGAGACTAACAGCTTACACAGCCTGCCAAATTCTAGAACAGGTGGAGTTACTTCTACAGAAATGGACATCAAAGTGACAAGAAAAAAAGTTTGCCAAGCTGGTATATTAAAAGAAACAGAGGTTCAAATTTAGGTCATCTACAAAGATTATGGACATGGTAAAATAAGAAAAGAATAGTATTTTTATGATTACATAGTGGTTTTCCTAACAGGTTTGCGGACTACTTAGAAATCTAAAGAAGGTAAGTAAGAAAAGCTATGCATATTGCTACTAACCCAGAAGTTTAAATTTGCTGCACAAGATGCACTGGAAAATATTTGTGTCTTCTACAAATTAAAAGATACTGAAGACTAGTGCTGTAGAGGCATCTGCTTTCAAGAGATTGGCTGACCAAGTGGCTAACAGAAGAACTGAAATTCAGGCATTTTCAGTTTCCTTCATGTTTTTGTGATTCTCAGTTGTGCTGTGTACGTCCATTAAAACTTTGAAAAGAACTGTTAGCATCTTTCAAGCAGATTCACACACGCTACATATTCACCACTTCATATATGTGGCACAAAGTCTCTGCTGGAGTGGAATATGGTAACTATTTAAATGGAATACAGCAAACTTGCCTAACAAGCCCCAGCAAAAGCTGTGTCTAACAAAACCAGTTGTACCTAACAGAAGTTGCATGAGAACCCAAGCAGCTGCATTTCACTGTTTAGTTTTTGTACTGACAGAGGAAATGACAAACCTCCTCTAAGAAAAGTTCTACACAAACTCTCTTAACAAGTCAAAAATTGAAAGACAATGTCCCAAACTATATTTCAAGATGCTTACTCTGAAGAAAAGGAGACAATTCCTGTCTTGCTATCAGTAGCATATTAAATGTTAGAAAAATACAGAGAAGAATTACAGTATAAGCCTCAAGCTGGTAGAAAAAAATAGCACAGCTGGCTGAATAAAAGCCAGCATTCAGAAATGATACAGCTGCCTCGATTTTAGAATATCACTTGTTTCTGCAACACTTCATTGCTAATCTGCATAATTCAAAAAGACACTGCATTTGACAGATGAGAAAACCACTTAAAAAACAACAACCCACAATAAAATAGTAGTGGTATGGAAAAAAAAGAATGAAGCCAAGGCTAAGGAGCAAAGTAAAAGAGAGAACGGATGCCTTCCCTACTTTAAAAAGGTTGTGATTTAAATAAATTCATTTAAACCACCACAAAAAGCTGAACACACAGCTATTTTAGTTTAGCTGACTTTGTCAGAAATCTCTTTAAGCAAAACAAGAAGTGCTTTAGTACTGAAAACACCAAGAAAATTTAACAGTTTGGTTTATTGTCTTTATCATATGTATATAGGTATTGCTGTACTGAGTCAGCACCCTATTTCTGATAATGACTAAAGGCAGATAAATAACAGTAGAGCAGAAATACAGGGCAATTACAAAGGAATACTTCCTAGGTATAATCTATATACCAATGCAGCAATTTGCAAATCTAGGATTTTTTCAGACAAGGGCAATGTCCTTGTATTAAAGTTACAATTTTCATTCATTAATTTCAGTGCATTTTGAACACCAAATTGTTTGACTTTACTATGTTCTAAGGCACGAGAGTTCTGCAATTTAATCGTGCAGTATGCAAAGAAATAGCTCTTTTTATTTTTGAACTGTCAGCTGGCAACTTCACCTGATATCCTGTTAATTCTTGTCTTGAAATATCTAATGACTGGACATATTTGTAGGCTTCAATCATATCCTCCTCTCATGTCAGTCTTCTATTTTTCAGGCTCCTTTGTTGCTCCTAATAGGGAAGGAGTTCCACAGTTCTAGTCATCCTTTCTGTTCTTCTGGTTTTTGTGTATTATTTTAGATCAGAAAACAGCACACAGTAATGGGGATGGAAAACCAGTATAGCTTTATACGTGTTCTTTACTCCAGCCCTAATTCTTAACATTGTTTCTGTGCAGTTTTTGGTGGGTTGTTGTTTTTTTGTTTTTGTTTGTTTGGTTTTTTGTTGTTTTGGTTTTTTTTTTGCTTGCTACTGAGGTTATGTTTTCTTAGATCTATCTACTGAGTTACATCTAGTCAAAAAGGCTAACTCTAACAAAACTAGCTGAAAATACTTGAAAAGGTTTTCAGAAAATCAGACTATGTAGTAAAGAATAGCTAGGAAACATAACAAAGCTCGGGCAAGGACATCAGCTACCAACTTGTGGAGGTAGGTAAACTGAGGGAACAGTAAGTCTGATCTAATTCAGTCATCTAGCATCCAAGCAATGAGCTAAAGAGCACTAAAATTCAGGCAATGAATCTGACTGAACTGTACCAGAATTAGTTCCAGTAAAAGCAGAAAGACTATGATGTCTTTGAAAACAATTTTGCTGCAGGCACACTAAGGTCAGCAAAGTCATCTAGTCTTTGCTGGACCTTTGATGGTTGCCTTTGAAAGGAGGAGAAATAGAAACATACATCAGCTTTTGCAACGATTCTATTTTGCTCTGCAGCAGACAATTCTTACTGATGTCTGAGTCGAAAAAATGGCAGACAACACTCCAATCCTGAAATACTTCTATAATATTTTCTTGAATGTCCCTTTCACAAGCTAGCAGTTTAAATGAGTTTATCTAAGGCCACAGTCTCTGTAACAAGGATCACCTATTGGTGGATGCAGCAGCAGTCTGTTCAGTTCCAAAGAGTAGCTGCTTTATTGCAAGGTTGAAGGTTTTGCTCCATCCTATTCTACATCAAAATACACAATACTGCTTGGAAATATCTAAACAAAACCACGTGCAATGAGTACAAAGACAGCACAACCAGCACAACAACAATACTTAACACCTCTGAGTTCAACCATTCTGACATGTAACCTATGCATAGTCCACAGACGCTGCACTGTGTGGACTTCCAAGTTCCCCAAATATAAAAGATATCAGTGCACATGAAAGAAAATCAAAAAGGTAACTACGCATACTGATTGTCTGGATTTTTTCACCAATTACGCAGTTTGAGGACAATCTGGGAGAGCTGTCCAAATAAGCATCAGGCAAACATTTGAATAACAGATGGATAGAAGTCAAGCCAGTAGTCATCTCATCTGCAGTTAGGTTTAAGAGGTTATCACAGTAGGTGTTGCCATACGTCCCACACACAAGGAAGGCATTTACTAACACATGGTACTGAACAGCTATACACTTGAGTTTTTTCAAGGTCTAGGTTCAGGAGGGATGCTCTGAATGTGTGGAGTGCAACAGCCATCTATGTGAATACATACAGTGTGAATGCACATGTAAGTATTAATCAAAAGAGAATTTCAAGTCTGCTTTTATAAGAGATAATAGCTAGTTCAGAGTAAAGAGTTAAAAAGCTGTATAATTACAGGAAGCATCATGAGATTGAATGCTGTCTGTATACATTGAGGCTTCCCCTCCCCCCAACTTAAGTACAGTTTTTAAAAGGTGAAGCATATTCATGCCTCTAATGAAAAGCACTGAAACTGTTTCAGAGTTTTATGTCAGTGACTACACACAGACCACATAACCTCCAGAACTTTTTATTTCTTTTGAACAAAGCTAATCTCTCTACTCTTTAAATTATACTTGAAATTAAGTTTAAAGAGCAATACAATAGTGACTGCTTCAAGTTACAAACTTGTGAAGAGTGAACTGACTGATACATCTATATAGGATATTAATTCAAATGAGCCATCATGATTACTTGATTGTTGACACACAATCATTTATTGGTATGACTGGCGATCAGAAAGTTGTTTGGATTCAGCACAGAAGGTGCTTAAAAATGGACTGCTCCTCACCCACCAGGCTCTCCACCAGCATGATCAAAAGTGAAACAGAGTCCTGAGATATGTCTCTCATCAAGGGAAAAGGAACCAGCAGAGCACTGTGGAAAAGCCAAAAATCATGGACGGGAAACCAATCCCAAAGAATCACACAATAGTAGTGTAACTTCAGTTGAAAGGGACCTTTGTAGATCATCTAGTCTAATGGTCTGCTCAGAGCTGGTCTAACCTGAGTTAGGTCAGCCTGTTCGGGGTCCTTTCCAATTGCATTCTGAATCTCTGGAATGATGGAGATTCCACAGCCCGTCTTGCACCTGGTTCCTGAGCTTAATCACTCTCACCATTAATTTTATTTTTCTTTTATATACATTCAGAATTTTCTCTGTTGCAACTTGTGTCCATTGCCCTTGTCCTTTCACTGTACACTTCTGAGAAGAGGCTGTCTCTGCCTTTTCTAGCATGTCTGGCATTTGAACTTCACAACCTGCCAGTCCCTTTCCCCACCTCAACAATCAGAGAACAAACTTGCTCCAGTCAGTAGGCAAGAGAGCCAACACGGAAGTTTTAGTTCTAAACTCCAGTCACAGCAAATTGTAACCTGACAATTCCAGCTCTGCTACTGCATGAGGAAATACAGCAGAAATTCTCAGATACATTCTCCTTCGTGCTTTCTCTAGTGCATTAGTGGGTTATAAATGCAGCTCTTCTATAGCCTCAATGCTTTCTTGTTTTTTTTAATTATAGAACAGGATACCATAGCTGGGAGTCAAGATAAATGTTGAAATTTTAATCTTTAAGGATTGCAGACCACAAAGTTTTTATGTAAAAAAAAACCTGTCCAGCAACAGAACACTCTTTGAACTGAATTATTTCTTGAGGATTTCTCTAAGTAGAAAGCTGTGCAAAGCACTCATGGTTTAACTCCTGATCACGTGACATAAGGTTTTCTAAACAGCTTTTCCTTGTAATCTCTTTATAACCTCTTAGTCCAGCTCCTTGGTCCTCCTACGCAATACAAAAAGCTACCTGTTGTAATTTAAAACACCCCCCAGCCTGCTTTGGTCTCTCACAATCACAGGTGAGGATGTCAACTCTGGAGGCTGGATTTCAAAACTGGACAAGCTATTTGGCTTTTTATGAAAAACCAAAACCAAACCCACATACCACACCACAGATGCTGGGAAACTGACACCCTGAAAATACAGGGTCTCCCTTCTCATGTCAGGATTTAGAAATAACTGAAAATAGGAGAGAAATAACTGAGTAGGATACTGATCCTCATTTGTAGTAAAAACTGAGCATGTCTGATGTAAGCACAATTTAATTTTCTTTTTGTTTTCTTGTTTGTTGCATTTAATGATCACATTTAACAATAAGGCAGCAAAAGAACACTACTTGGACATCCTAGCCTCTCTGGATAATGTACATAACCTAAAGTTAAAACAAACAAACAAACAAACAAACAAAAACACCCAACACAAAAAAGCACAAAAAACCACCAAACCACAAAAAAACCCAGAAGAGCAAGATACTGATTTTTACGTGCAACTTATACACTCATTTCTAGACAACACTTTTCAATAAACGTGCTAGGGATCTGTTTATTCTGCTTCTATGAGATAGTTATAGTATCCTTGTCTTCATTAATGCCAGAGGAATATAAACTGTACTGCTCTAGTGCACAGAATGCACTACTTCATGCTTAAGGCATCTTCTATCTCCATGTCCAGAGGAACAGGGTACATCTGCCACAGTACCTGCCTAAAATCAGAGATAAACTGAATATGTGATGAGATTGTAATAACGTGACTGGGAAGAGGCCACTTACCTTTCTGCTTCATGATGACCTCAAGAATTCTTTTTACTCTAAATTAATCTGACCATTTGGAGGAAGGAACACAGCAGGTACAAAAGCCTTTGCTGGTGGCAAAGATATCTACCCTAAACAAAGGCCAGTGAATCTACTAGTAAAACTGTTTGTCTATTCAAGGATCAACATGAAAGTGACAAAAAGGGATAGACAAAACAGGTGACATCTATCCTGAAACGACTCCTAAGGCAACCCATGTCATAACACACTACAGCATAGGCAGTCTCTTACCTGAGCTGGTGAGCACACTCAGGGGACTGCTGGAGGAGGTGAGTGCAGCAGTACCACTCGGTGTATTCTGAGCTGCACTGGCTGCAGCTGCTAATGCAGCCAGGTTCTGTAATTGCATCGCATTCAGTCCTGCAACACATTGAAGAATGCACAGTTTCTCCTATAATAGTCACGATCATCCAAGCTTAACAGACCCAGCAACTTCAGCACATCCCAAGGGAGTAATGGGAAGGAGCTTAAAAACAACAGGCTTAATACTAGTTACTGATCTTTTCTACATTGTGATTCCTTGTTGTAACTAAAAAAGTTTTTCTTTGCCCAGATAGATGAGTTTCTGTAAAAGACCAGGTAGTTATGATCCCAGATGTAGACTCCAGAGTACAGAAATTTTCAAGCGGTGTTCTCTCCAGTCACAAAAGCATAGCAGCTTTAACTAAGAGTTAAGCCAGGGTCTGACAGCTCATCTGCAAGCCAGAGAACTTGTCTAGACACCAACCAATAACCCCCTCTTGTGCCCCTCCACTCTCTTTGTATGGGAACAGCAATAACTGCAGAATTCCTTCAAGAAGGCCTACACACCACAGTGGCCACCAAGTCACACCTTTAACCCACCATCAGCTGAATATCAGCATATTTTGTTTGGTCCCCTTGGCAGCCAAGAAGCAACAGTCAATTGTGAGACAATGTTAAGCAGCAACTCCCGACCACAAGACCAGCCAATGTATGTGTAGGCTAGTCAGCCGGTCAAACAAAAGTGGTAAGGAAAACAAGAAACATCAGGCATGATGTGGGTAAGCAGCCAGGAATACTGCAGGGAGAGGAAGGTATCCCTGTGTTGATGAACTTTTACTGGTCAATTTACTTATCTGACTCACCTTGATTTTGAGCTATAATTTTTAACGAAACCATTTGGTCAGTACTGATACTCTCTGCCCTCTTTTCCTGCCATGGGATTATCATTGATATCAATCTTCTTCTGAATTCTGTATTTTTGCCATCCTTTGGTAGGCTAGCTCCATTCTTCCAATTCTGCCTCTCTTCCCTTCTCCCTTATTTCCCCTTTTTGTCTCTACCTTTGCTTATTCTAACAATTCCTCCTCTTTTCATCTGAATTCAGACAATCCCTAGTAAAATTCTTCCCTACAAAATTAAAACCAAAATTAAATTAATCGCCATTCATATAACAATATCAAAACGTCCTAGGCAGATGTGACACCTCATATTTTGGATGCTCAAAGCACACATCTCAAATAATTAAAAATCTCAATTTTGTCATTTATATAAACAGACAACACAAGTATGTGACAACACAGTATAAACTATTTATTTTCTAAAAAACTTCTACTACCTTTAGCATAGTCCATTTATTTTTTTTCTCTTTTTCAATTGTTTTCTCTTTGTGACAGGGTCTGTTTCCCTAACCACATTTAGTACCTGAAACAAGAGGATTCTGCCTTTATTTAGATTCTCAAGGTGCCATTGTAACAAAAGCATGAAGTTAAAACCAAAAAGTTATATTTTTTGTTTTTATTGTGCTACAGAGGGTTAAAAGTCCAAGTGTTAGAGCTAGCGAAGAACAAAGCAGCTTGCTTCCTTTCTGTAGCAGTTTGGCATGTGTGCACTGCACCTGTCCTCTTGTCATCACATTGTTTTCCCATCTGCTTTCAAACAGGGTCAAGATTAAACTTTGTCTACAAAGACTGATATAGTTTGGGATCTAATTACCCACTTAATATTTCTTTCTATGAATTTCAAGAAAGGAAGGAGATCAGCTGAGGTATGAACAGGACTTTGAAACTAAAACTCTTTCTGTGAAGAATCACAGACTTGGAATAATTCTTTCAAAACACCATGCAACATGCTATTTATATGTCTGAGTTCTCAATTTTTAAGGTGTTTTTTTAAAGAGTGAAGACAGAATTACCCTGGAAATTTCATAGGCAACCTCAGCTAGTTAGTCCCTTCCCCCTGCCCCAATCCTTATCGTAGTAACAATTAACATGAACTGCTGTACTGTTTTTCTCCTTTATTACCGCTTGCTTCTAAACAGACATAAGAGGAAGAAAAAACAGTATCATGCACATAACAAAATCTATTATAGGTCACAACCACACAGGATATTAGTGAAACCGATTTAAAAAATTGCTTTTTGGCAAGAGTCTTAGATCTAAAGAGCTCTGAAGAGGTCTAACGTGAAAAAAGTAAACACAAGAAGCTAAGCTTAGATTGAACCTCAAGTATAAATCAGTATAAAAGTTCTTACAACTGAAAACACAACAGTTTGCAAAAGCTTGTAATTGTTACTGATGGGTGCACCAACACAAGTCAGATGTACAAAGACACTACTTTCTTAACGCTTTTAGATCAACCTCTGCACAGACAGGGCATGTAATATTCTGAACTACCATATAATTCCAGGAGGCAATTTAAAAAGCTTAGAACGTTCAGTATTAAAACCAAAAATATAGTTTTTCTGACAGCAGAAGACTTTAGAGGATGGGGTGAATAGAGTTACTAACATGTGTTTCATTATTCCTCACCCTGTGAAGACAGAAGGGACAATCAATTTGCAGTCCCAGTACTGCTACACCTAGGGAATATTCTGACTAGCAGTCCACAGCAAGGAGTTTGGCTCATACCTATTAAGCTGGTATTTCCCTAACAGCAATGGCGTAATCAATCATAATCCAAACGAAGTAATTAAAGAACCTGAATGAAGGACTAGTTCACATTCCTACTGACATTGCATTTTCAACTTTTATGTATTTAAGAACAAATAATTTAAAACGGGAAACCTAGGAATCCATTATCACTGAAACACATGCCTTAGTGCTTATTTCAAAACACAATGCTTCAAATATGCACCTGTTTGGATGAAAATAAATATACAGAGCCATCTTTTTGTACGCATAAGAGAAGATAATTTTAAATGCCAGAGGTCGGGGAGATTACCAGCATACCACAACTTACCTTGGGGACTATGGTTAACTAAGATTAAGAAGGAACATCCACACTTGTAGCAAAGGATTCCTGTCATTCCAAAGGAGTAGGTAAACTCAGGACTACTTATTTCAAATGAGGTTAATGTGTCTACAAGCCTTTCGGCTACTTTCTCTACCCTCCTCCTCTTTTCTCTGGCACTGTACTTGTCTTCTGATGGAAAAAAAACTCACCTCCCATTGGGTGGAGGCTGCTCAATGTGTTCAGGTTCCCAGATGACGCAGCTGCTGTCTGCTGAAGGAGCTGCAAATAAAGCTAGACATTACACCAAAAAACAAAACAAGAGTGAGAGTGAGGGCTGGCTCCGCTTCTGGGAGAAACTGCATCACACCACAGCCAGAGCGCCGTCACAAAGGGAACTCCCACTGCCCATGCACCACGTCGTAGCAAAGCGTAAAGAGAATTCCCCTTACACAACACAGCCAGAGCACCGCCATAGTGAAAATCCACATTGCCCATGCATCACATTGCAGCCAAAGCACCAGCACAATGTTTTCCCCACTCAACATAATCAATGTTGAGGGAAGTTTATAGCTAATACACCAAGACAAAACCAGTAGAATCAGTAGTGAGAAAGAACTCCTATCCAAAGTACCTCAGGCAGGACTGCCACCCCTAAGGACATACTACCTCAAGCCAGACTTTACAGCTGACACTGCCAGCATAGGAAAAATGGCAAATGCCGTATCAAAACCAAAAAGCCACTGTGAGAGGGAACCCCCTCCACTTTCCTTAAGCACAGCAGCCATGAGAGAGGTTTCAAGCCTCAGCTTGGAAGCTACTTAGAGGGATTTCCTATTCCTTTCCCCATTAACTAGGTGGTGTTATAAAAAATTCCAATCTACCAAACCTAAAGCAGTAGTAGAAGAGAGAATGCCCCCACTTCAACAGTACACATGCCAAGAATGAGATGAAATTTTCCTTTTCTGTTCCCCAGACCTTATATTGCGTGAATACAGTTCTCATAGCTACTCTGGCAACCCACGTGAGCCAGAGCACATCAGTTTATGAAAAGTTCACCCTTTAGGGAGCCAGCAAAATCAACTAAGATCAGTGACAAACAACAGACTACCTTCTCTTGTGTCATTTTAGTTAAAGAGAGTAGCTTCTCTCTATTTTCTGTAGGTTTTTTGGTGTGTTTTTTTGTTGGTGGTTTCTTTTTTGTTTTGTGGGGGCTTTTTTTGTTTGTTTGTTGGGGTTTTTTTGTTTGGTTGGGTTTGTTGTTTTGTTTTGTTTTTTTTTTTTTACTGTGCACTGTGAGCTGTTGGCACTTCCAACCTGATCACCTTTTCTATTTGGACAGCACCAAGTACTGTTCTAGGTTTCACTGGAAGGGGATAAGAGAAATAAAGGATAAAGGCTGTAAAAGGAAAAATGGAAGAGGAATAAAAGAACTATGTCATCAGATAGACATGAAAAGGGCACTTAATATGGGCAAACATTGAGGCCATAACATATGAAGAAAATCTTCCTAGCACAAAGTCATTCTACAGAAGACAGGGAAAAAAAAGTTTCAGTAGTTAGGTCTACAGTGACTGGGGTTGGAATCCTCACTTAAATGTATCCTGACTAGCTGTTAGCACATAACTTAATTTCAGCCTCCTCGTTCACAAAATGGGGATTAAGAACCCTGCTCCCATCTATCAGGAGCCTTCTAAAAATGAATATGTTAAACACTACAAGACAGTCAGACACTGTAATCCCTGAAGAGATAAAAAGAACCCAAATGAGAAACTCACTGCTAAGTACTGGGGTCCAAGTGTGTTGAGACCAGCCAGGTTTCCCCATACTGAGGCAGCACTGATCTGTTGCATTTGTTGCTGGAGTTGCTGAGCAATTCGTTTCTGCTCTTTGTCCTTCTGTGTGTCTGCAAATTTTACCACAATGGGAGAAGAGCAACCCTGCAAACAGCAATTCAAACAATTATATACCTGCTATCACCAGCAGTCACAAAAATACTGTATTAAGACATTGGAAGTATTCCCCTCCCCCCACATGCACATATACTTTTTTTTTTTTTTTCTCCAAACAGCACATTTCATTAAAGGCTCAAAATCTCTTTTGCTTTTAATTCTATTTGGTCTTTTGGCATTTTCTCTGCAAATGAAGTTTCTATCTCAAGCTCTGAAAATAGGAGCAGAACAAACACAAAGGTCCAGGAGTAGTATTTGTGAAGAAACACACACTGCACTTATCCTCTCTGCTCTCTAGTCCTCCAAACGCCACAGTGACTGCCTGACAAATTACATCATCTCCTGACACCCACTAACTTGTTTTACCTCCATGGTTTGTGCTTGGTGCATTGCTTTGATTGCTGTTTGTGCCATGGCTCTTGTTGTAAAAGTCACAAATGCACAACCTGGGGAAAGAACAAAAAGGAACCAAGTCATTCACTACATCCACAATTACTGGGATGAATAAAGAAATGAAAATGCCTGGGGAGGGGGTTGGGGGAATCACAGAAAGAGCTGAAATGCCACCTTGAGTTGCAAAAAGCGGCATCCAGTGGAGAACCTTGAACTGTTGGAAAAGCTTCCTGCTTACCTCGGCTCAGGCCATCTGGGCCCCGTAATATCCTGCATTCCTCAATCTGCCCAAAGGGGGAGAACATCACTCGGATATCATTTTCATTGCACTTCTTGGATATCATTCCAATGAACAACTTTCTATCTTCTACTGCTAAGAAATCAAAGGATAAGAGTATTACCAGCAAATATGCGCTTACTAGATCTTATTTTGTCAAGTCTTCTCCATCAACTGCAGTTATTTCCCTTGTATTTAGGGTAGGGGCTTGTCAAAAATCAGATTACCAATAATGAAATCTCTTCAATCTAAGAGAATGCATATGAGATACCTCGACGAACCTGAAGGATGCCTGTTTTATGATGCTTTATGTTTACATTTTGCTGACTGTTTCTCCCTTGCAAGCCTATGAACTGCAAGAATGTAAGAAAAGGAAAAAAAAAAATATATCAGGTTCAGCACTTCCCTGTACGTCCTGCATTCAGTTGCTGGCAAGTGAGGGAAGACTTGTACATATTTTACTGGACTATTTTCATGCTCTTTCCTCTGTCTCTTCTGTTGTTAGATTACCAACATACCTAACTGTATCTAAACAAGCAAGTGAGCTGCAGAAAGCTTCTTTCTAGCCTCTTTATCATGCCAATCACTTGAATTTAGATCTGCTGATTTCCTCATGCTCCTGTCTCAACAGTGGAAGCAACAGCAGTTGCTAAAACAGAACAGCTTTAGTTCTGTTTCAGATTCATCCATTCTGATCTGTACCAAGAGCATGAAAATAACACCTCAAATCAGAACGATGGACTGTGTGCTACTGTATCTTGCCTCTAAATGCTGATGCTACTAGATGTATTAGAGTTGAAGAATACCTTTCAGTGTGCAGACTATTTTAAAATAAATGGTCCAGAAAGACATTTCTTTTAACTTTTCATTTAGCAGTTACTAATGTCAGTTTAAGGTCACTTAAGAGAGTGGGGTGAATATGAATCCAGAGCAGAACTTTGTACCTCTTGTTTTACTTATTTCAGGATGCTAATCACCTCTGAAATACTTGCTTTTAAAGGATGAAGCAAATTATGCAGAACACCATTTGGAAATATAAAACAGCTTGCAAATCAGCACAATATAAAATATAATAAGATGAAGGCTGTAGCACAATTTGAAGCCTCAAGAGAGAAAGTCTTCTCCTATTTAGTGCCATGGTGAGGGGAAATCAACTTATTTGCCAAGTCTTCTATGGCGTTGAAGAGAAAAATTCCAAAATATTCCAGCTGACGTGACTTTAACTGACTATTAAATCTTAATGTCGTACCCAGTTCACTTTCAAGCTGCTCTCATATCCTTTCTGCAGTCCATTTTAGTTCAAGAGATCCAGAATCCCTTTTATTAATGGCAAGTTAAAACACTTTAACTGATGCTTTCTTATTTATATTTTCACCTACAGCTTTTACCAAAACTCATATAATTATATATTAGCCTCAGAACTGTCAACCTAAAATGCCATTAAATACTTTTTTCCTCTTTCCATTATTTTCCCAGGATACTTGTCTGCATGTATAATGCAAGATCAATTTTAGTTTAGAGAACCTATTCTGTTCTCCTCCCAACAATACTTCAAAAGAATTACTCCTTTCTAGATATATTTATACAGAAACATATTCTGTATACCCATGGAGGAGTTTGCAGATGGAATTACTCCTACTGTATGTTACCCATATATCCCATCTTCTGTTTTCAACTATCTTAAGATGTAAGCTTTCTGGAACCAGGATTATTTTCTTCATGATGGAATGCTAATCTTATAGTAACTATGGCAAATGAAGAAAATAAAATTCAGCCAAGCCTAGAAAGGCTGAAACTACAAGATGCTAAACACTTTGCTTATCTTGCAGCAATATATATACACACACATTTGAGCACGTATGTATGTACATATATAAACTCATCATGGAAATACATGGATAAATGATCATTTACCCAATGGTAGATGATGAATGTCTTAATCCATCTGAAATGGCCAATGCACAGAAATATTCAGTTTTTTCTCTACTGAACTCTTGTGAATTCTCAATCTCCCTTGTATACTACAAGAAGTTTTGACTCTCACCCTAGCTGCAACAGGCCTTGCTTCAATTGGTCAAGCACTTGAAAAAGCATTTCTAGATTTCGTAGAATCATAGAATGGTTTGGGTTGAAAAGGATCTTAAAGTCCAAGCCCCTGCCATGGGCAGAGACACCTTCCATGACATCAGGTTGCTCAAAGCCCCATCCAATCTGGCCTTGAACACTTCCAGGGATGGGGCATCCACAACCTCTCTGGGCAACATGTTCCAGTATCTCACTACCCTCACAGTAAAGAATTTCTTCCTAATATCTAATCTAAATCTACCCTCTTTCAGTTTAAAACTGTTACCCCTCTTCCTATAACTACACTCCCTGATAAAGAATCCCTTCCCATCTTTCCTGTAGGCCCCCTTCAGGTACTGGAAGGCTGCTATGAGGTCTCCCTGGAGCCTTCTCTTCTCTAGGCTGGACAACCTCAACTCTCTCAGCCTGTCCTCATAGGAGAGGTGCTCCAGGCCACTGATCATCTTCATGGCCCTCCTCTGGACTTGCTTGAGCAGGTCCGTGTCTTTCTTATGCTGGGGGCCCCAGAGCTGAACACAGTACTCCAGGCGGGGTCCCATGAGAGCGGAGTAGAGTGGGAGAATGACCTCCCTCGACCTGTTAGCCCTTCTTTTGATGCAGCCCAGGATACAATTGGCTTTCTGGGCTGCAAGTGCACATTGCTGGCTTATATTCAGTTTTTCATCCACCAACACCTCCAAGTCCTTCTCCACAGAGCTGCTCTCAATCCACTCATCGCCCAGCCTGTATCCATGTTTGGGATTGCCCTGACCCAGGTGCAGGGCCTTACACTTGGCCTTGTTGAACTTCATGAGGTTTGCACAGACCCACCTCTCCAGCCTGTCAAGGTCCCTCTGGATGGCAACCCTTCCCTCTAGACTATCAACCACAGCACTCAGCTTGGTGTCATCCGCAAACTTGCTGAGGGTGCACTCAATCCCACTGTCCATGTCCCCAACAAAGATTTAAACCACCTTAGTACAAAGAACTCCTCACTGTATGTTTCCCTAACTGACAACATGGTTCCACCACAAGCAGCAGCAATGGGAGATACTGAGTCATGGAATTTTAGAGACATCACTTACGCTATCTACTATAGTGAAAACACCCCCGCCCCTTTTTTTTTTTCCTTCTCTTTTTTTTTTTTCCTTCCAAAAATCAGGTCCCCAATTCAAGAAGACTTCATCAAAAGCTGTTCAACAAAAGGAAAATCCTCAAGCTTCCCTATTAGCCCAAACGATGCCACCAAACTCAGACTTTAGTACAGCTTACCATTACTCTTTTCGCTGTCAGCTGGTTTCATCTGGATAGGATGGTGCATCTGAAATGTAAAAAGATTATTTAATCCTAGATGCATTCACTTTATACTATATGAAATACATCCCATAAGAACTTTGGAAGAAAGAAATGGTAGTCTAAACTGCCTCTATAGCGGTGCATATGTAACAATACATAAATTTCTAGAAGAAAAGCTTTCCTAACGATATGCCATCATCCCTTCTCAGTATTACAGGAGCCCACTTCACTACCATATTATTCTCCAAATGCTCCAAAATTCCCTTACAATCTGTTACCATACAAATCTCATGACATTGCTCTTTTGAATAGTTCTTTTAAAACATGATTTGAGGGCAAGATAACATATGTTTGTACATCAGTGGTGCCAGAGCTCAGAAAACCAAGACAGAGTTGCAAAGAAAGCATGGCTCTTCTCTTACCCCTGGGAGGATCTTCATGTTGTGAAGAGCGTTCTGTGCTTCTAGTGCAGCTTTACGGGTATAAAACGTAACAAAACAGCACCCTGCAATTGAAACAAAATGCTAGCCAAGAAAGAACACTGAATCTTGAAATTGCAAGTCCCACTTCTATCCTTCCAATGCAAAATGTATGACAAGCAGAAGAGGTTAGACACTGAAATAAGTAGGTACTACTAATTGTTACTGTTTAAAAAAAAGATTTCTAAGTGTAATAAAATAGGATATATTCAGAACTGACCCAACATCACCAATACACCATTAAAACAAACATTTAGATACATCTGCCAAATAATTGTTGGCTACTTCCATTATCAAACTCAATCATTATTTGGTAGTACCAAAAATGTAAATAGACACATACACTTAAAGACTATAAAGCCTGGGCTTGCATGCACACCTGGTCACACAGAGCTCCAACACACAGGGATGTTTGAATAAGCAAACAGCTAAGATTGTAACCATGTGAAAGCAGCTGAGACACCAAGTCTCACATGAGAAGTACAGAAGTTCTCACCTTTGCTTTGAGGAGGGTTTTGGCTCCTGTCCCTCAAGACGTTGATTTCGTAGACAGCACCATACTGTTCAAAAAGTTCTCTCAGATCCTTCTCACACCAACTCCGTGGGACCTGACCCACAAACATCTTGATAGCATCTAGATCAGGTTGGTCTGGATGATCCAGTGTGCCATTCATTTTCTTTGAGCTATGAAAAACAAGAAGAAATTTCTGGTTTATATCTTTCCATAGATTCTAGATGCTATTGCAGCTAGAAGAGGCATGCTTACAGCAAGATTAAAAAAAATAATAATAATTTTGTACATATATATATAAATATATCTGATTAAACTATACATATAAAGAGAGACTCTTGCACATTTCCAGTCCTGCATACCAGAGAATATTCAGAAACATCATTCACATACATTGGCAAGCTGTGTACTTGGAAACCACAACACACCCTATACAGATGTTTAAAACTTCTCTTAACGTTTGCTCCTATAATGTAGTCAACATCTGTAACTCAGGACATAAATCTGTTGAGATAACTGAAAAATATCACTAGTTCAAGCATGTAAAACTTTACAGAAAAAGAAACCAGAACAGGAAAGAACCTAAACTCCGTCTACCCACAGACTACTGAAGTTATCAGTAACCAGTGAAAATGAGAGGATAACATTTTTTTCGTTGTTTTTAAATGTGACTATCTGAAACTGTTTCCCAGGGTGAAGATCCATCTTAAAACAGAGAGACAGGTACAACTGAACAGATCAGAAGCTTCATTAAAGGTTTGCAAGGCAATAGCTCTTTGTGAAACTAGGGAACTTTCAACAATATTTGGCAAAAAAACAGGCTTAGGTTGTAAATGAACAGGTTGGGATTGGACAACCTAGTTAGTCACAGACTGAATCAAGTTGACTACTAGTAGGGTGTTAACATAGAAAAAAAGTCACTTAAGACTACAACACAGAAGTTTTGAGCATGGCAATCTTCAATAGGCTTCAAGGCACTACATCTAGCCATATGAACAGTTCACAGCCTATTAACAAAACTGTGTTATACTCCACCCAGCTAGTTGACAGTCATACACTGCTTTCTGTACTGACCCCTCATTGCTTGCCAAGTGCAATGTGAGGTCTTGCTACTGGTAGTCACAGCCTGGTATACCACAGGACCTCTCTCTGTGGAAGACTGACTGTAACAACATCCTATTGTAGCTACAGTGATTAGCAGGTTAAAATTGCTGACCAGCCTCTGCATAATCTAGAAAGGACATGGGGAGTGGAATAGTAACTATACAATGGTTCCCTCTGCCCCCAAACTCTTTGTTGAGGAATACAGGTGGCCTTCTTCCAGAGTAGTCATCTCTCATCATCTCTGCTTTTTTCCTTTAAAGATAGTTTTTGAATGGCTTGTTAACTGCACATTACAGTAACCAGTGTTCCTCTCACTGTTCATCTGCAATCATATTCCTCCCTGAACAGAATAAAAAAAAAATCCAAACCAGGCAATGCCTAGTTAATTTTTCCCCTCAATATGCTGCTGTTCAGAGCCTAAGGGAAAACTGATGCTGGGAAAGCTCACAATTTTCTAACTGTATGAACAGACCTCAAACAACAAAGCTTCTTACTAGAAGGGAAGGGAATCATCATAAATCCTTTCACTCCTCTCTACCTTTCCACTCAGAAAGGGTCAGCACCTCTCCAAATATCCAAGGCAAACAGTAACTTTTACAAAGAGGTAAACTACCTCTTTTTATTCAATGTCCTTCCATTCCAGTTGAGAACAACTGGAAATCATTAACCCTCTGCCAATAATAATTTTCATCCCTGCCTTCTATGCCATGGGTAGCTTCAAGAGCATAGCATGGCTCCTGTTAACTGGGCAGCTCTTAACATGACCTCAATGGTACTCAAGGAATCTTTCACTCCTAATTAAAAGGTTTAGTCTGGAGTCATTAATAGGGAAGAGCAGAAACTGTTCTCCCAATAATTGATTTAAATAACTGATTTTATAATATCAGCACCTGTAGCATACTATAAACAGTACTGCCAAATAGCTTTATTCCTCCTTAGCCCTCATCCCCAAAATTATCAGATCATTTTTCCCCCTATCCAGAATCCAACATCAATTGTCAATGCCCACTACAATTTCTTGAACCAAACAAACTGTAGGCTCTCCATCTCTCTTTCCCCCTTCCCCAGTGGGAGTTCATCAGACAGCAGAGGCCTCAAAGACAGCAATTCCAACTATCACTTTAGTTACAAACTTAGACACAAAGACAAAATACTTACACAGGGCTAGCATTCAAGGAGCAATGGTCCACCATCATCTCTGGGAGGAAATCCAACTTGAACGCAGCCATCACCTCAGTCTGCGACAAACTACTAACACTAAACCAGTGTATTGCCTAACCCCCAAACAACACCACTTCCAAAAGTCCTGCAGGTCTTAACACTCAGCCACACAAAAAACACTCAAACCACAGAAACAGAAGCTCAGGGAGACCAGCAATAGACACGACAGAAACAGGCTGGACTGGGAAAGGGACATAGAATCCCAGATTAAAAAGGGGATGTGACCATGTGAAGGGAGGCTCAGCTTAATACACAATGAAAATGCTGATGCACTGGGCTTGTTTTGTTCAATTTTCCCTGGCGAAGCAGTACTGAGTGCACTGTCAGATAAACAGAGTGTCAGATCCATGAAGATAGCAATGGGTAACAGAGCAGAAAGAATACAAACTCCAGTCTTTCCATCCCCAACTAACTCCTTGCCTCCCAAAATGGCAGTCCAAGGCCTTGAGATTCAGACAGACTCTTCCCATATCATCAATATTAAGGTGTGAAGTCAAGAAGTTCCTTCACCATAAACATTTTCAATGGCTGATCTCACTCTTTTCACCTTGTGCACTATTTTTTCATCTTGTGCACTATTTTTGACACTCTCCTAACTTCTAGGGGGAAAATTGCCAACTAAAATGTTTCTCTGAACCTGCCAAAACATGAAAGCTAAGAAGATCTGATTACTCAAAAATTCCTTAACTACCACAGAACATCAAAACCTACTCCTTTTATAGGAGCAAGACATACATTTTTCTGGAAACAATACTTTGCCCATCATGCATCTATAAATCCAGAGATATACAGAGATGACGAAGAAAGGGAAAAACACAGTGATTTGTTGAAAACTGTTTTATAATCTCTGAAAACACTGTCAGAACACCTCAGCTGCTTCATCATTAAAACAGGAATGACATGTTGATCAAGGAACTGTGAGGTGTATTTATACACACAATACAGACCTCTTGTTAAATCTCCAATACCCAAACTAATGGGGAGATAACCTGGATAATACTGGATGCAGTGGGAAATGCAGAAATATTTGATTGCAGATAGTGAGTGCTGCAGAAGCAGCTGGGTGTGTCCGAGCACTCCAGGAGGGATGACTAATTCAACTCCAGCATGAATCCAGATAAGCCTTATGTATAAGGTCGATATAACCACAAAAAAACCTCTTAGAGCATTAAGGGACTGCATGCTGGGGCAGCTGCAATCACTTCTTTCTTGTCTGTCAATGACTGCAACATGTACTTGCACTTCTTTAGACTGGCCAGTATATACAGCTTGCTTTCTGCTTGCACAGGTACAGCATGTCAATTATTTTTTCATAAATAACCATTTCCAACCTCTGAAAAAAAGAACATTTCCAATCTTCTGCTTACACTGAGGTTAATTAAAAGGCTATTAAAAGGAGTTAGGCCTCGTAATACAAAGAGATATGCATGTTACTGCAAAATAAGAGAGGACACGAATTTAGTACACATCAGATATTCAAGAGTAACTACTACATGTATGCTCTTACTATGTGGTAAATGCAAGAAAGCTTATTCTTTAATGAAAAAGGTGTAAGCTACCTGCTAAGCACCACTGTTAAAAGCATGCAAATAGGCACTAGGGAGCACAGGTCAATTTATTAGCTTTCAGTAAAGTGTTCATATCTACCTTAAGACACATCTTACAGGCTTCCCACTTGAAAAATGCCATGTTGTGTAAAATGTATCATATTCAAATGTTAAATTGTGCCTGGAGCTCACTTTACGGATTTCTCTAAAATGAGCCCACAGAGAGAAACAGTTCAGATTTATATGATCAGAACAGCAGAAGATACGGTGGGTTTCTTGCCACTGTTCACATAAATCCACAGACCAACACTTTAAATTCTGGTCTCGCCTATGAAGACCAGAATTCATTCCTTCTAGTCTTTCAGTTATCTTTAGCTTTTTTAAGCAGCCAGTAAAATACCCCAGCAGCCACGCTCATTGTAGGTTCAACGAAAGATGATGCTGGCAACAGATACTCTAGAAAATGGGTTTTAGAAAGGTTACTGAGATTGATTAATTCACTGAAGAAAATAACCAAGTCACTATGATTTGATCCTATGCCCACTCTT